TTCCGTAAATATTACACTGTTAATTTTAAAAGTCAGTTTATGGCAAACGTATGTTTTCAGCAACTCGACATCGGGCCAAGCATTCGCAGGGGGAATGAACGTTGTACATAACAAGTACAGTTTGAATATGTAGAAAAATCAATAACTGTCTAGTATGGGCGGTGTTATTAGGGTTTGGCGTGTGGAAAATTAGGATGGGCATTAAAGGAAATTTAAAGGGAAAGTATAAAATTGTAAATATGGTTGAATTTTTTACCACGACCGTTATATAGCCAAGAAATTAGTAAATAATAGCATGTAATACATAATAAAATACATATTCAAATTCGTAAACTTTTATATTATATCTGCCGCTTGCGTTGATATCGCACACTGCAAGCTCTAATCTGGCGTTTTATAGATGCCTGCATTCTCTCACTCATTCTTTACGGCTCTCCAGTTATCTTGCCAGCCTTACTTAAAAAAGATCTAGTCATTTTTAAACGTAGCCTCCGAATGCTCTCTTCAGCTGTCGGTGTTTTCTATGTTTTTTTAGCTGACATTATAATACAGCGCCACTTTAAAACGGTCAATCAATTTTCTGATCGCATCCATAGTGAGGTCGCTCACCCTCTTCACTCTGAACTTATAGCTACGAAATCTTCTTGTACTTCGTGCGAAGTTTCTGTAATCTGTCTTGCCGCACCTCAGCATATCAGCACTCTGTACTTCCAGTTCTAGCATCCTGCCTCGCGTGCGAAGAAATGGAAATTGAGAAGTTGAAAGCCAACCTGTCTCCATAACAGATGTGGATATCGTGTAAAACTTTAAACGTTGAGTATTCTATGACCTTTTACGTTACCTTATCCCTTGCTCACCATGAATGGAGCCATTTTTCACTGAAAAATTTGGATATTTAACTTCAAAATGAAGCATATTTCTCTCTCTCGCTCAATACTTGAGAAAAGGGTACGTTTATGTTTTAAAAACGTTCTAGCTTGCCGAATAACTTTGAACCCTATCGGCCGTTACACTTTAGTCAATGGGTCTTTAAAAAACACGCCATATACATTCTGTCTAGTGAAAATCACACATTTCTCTCAGTTACGAGGGAGGAGTCACATCAATCTCATACAAATTTGCAATGGAAGTGAGTCCTGTTGTATACTTTACAGGCAACATGAACATGTACAACATGTGCATGGACTGATACGATGTAATAAGAATGGACATTTCAGGAACATTGCTGAAACCAAAAATACCCAGCCACACAGAAATGCACATACTTACTCTCATATTTGGTCGGAAGTCGTACACAACGGTTCCCATCGCAGACATACTTCTGTCCATGGAGGATTGGATAGGTGAGACCTGAGGTCTGGTGTGAAGGGGACTCGTCATCTTGGCGTTTCACCATGGCCTGGTAGAGGTGCACGGTTTCGACGGATGCACACATACTCAGAAAGGCTCGTATTTATAGGGGAAATTTGCCGTCAACGTGTGTACTTTTCCCACGTGTAAGTGATGTGAACTTTCTGTCAGGCAATCAGATTGCGGAATGTGGAACTAGATGATGATGATGATCTCTCTTGTGCTGGTCGTCTGTGAGTGCCGGTTTGGCTTTTAACTCAGTCGCCTGCCTCACGGGATGACATGTACTTTGGGGGAGGGCAGTGTTTCCTGCACTTACGCCGCTGCAGCCTACAAGATCTGGATTTTTATGCTCAAAGTTCAGAAGCAAGGCATAGTGAGACAAGCTGACTGAAAAAACTCTGGACTTAAAATTGTAATTGAAATGCGTCGATGCTGCAAATCTTACGACATTTGGTGGCAAAGTAGCTGCCAACTGGCTGAGACAGATTATCTAACCGTTCGCTGCTCTTTGTTAACCGAATTATAAGGGGGAATTCGCATTCATCTATCTGGTCTAGTAAAGGCTGAGACAAACAGGTATTTAAAGACAACTAGTTGCCGCGAGGCATTAGAGTTAAACCAGACGTGACAGGATCGGTCGTTTTTGGCCTATATATCAAGCCTTGGGGGTCGCTGCCTCTGGGTTTGGATGTGGCTAGCTGATGACAACTAGTAAGCTAGAAATTGCCTTCCAGTCTCCCTTATCTTTGCCGTTAATGTATTTCTACCATAATATTTATTCACAAACAAGTTAGGTTACTTAGGAAGAGCATAATGTTTATTGGATACACTTTTGAATCCGGTTCCCAAGCTCTTCGTCAGACAAATAAGAGCTGTGCGTAAACAATTTCCTTAAAACAGGCCTAACGCAGTATTTTATGGTTGGCCAGTGTTTAAGGCAATAGTCCTCATCTGTATTTTCTCATACGGCCGAGAGTCGTTGTCTATGCTTTCAACTGACCTGGAGATGTTTGTAATTGGCATCTAAATCGCTATGAAGTCGCCGTACATTACGCGTTTGTACTCATCCCACGTGTAAGCAATGTGAACTTTTCGTCCGCCAATCAGATTGCGGGAGATGATGATCTGTCTTGTGCTGATCGTTCCTGAGTGCCGGTTTGGATTTTGATTCAGTCACCTGCCTCACGCGATTACATGTGCCTTGAGGGAGTGGGGGTGTTTGGTGCACTTAGTTCGCTGCAGCTTACAAGTTGTAGATTTGTAGGCTCAAAGTTGAGGAGCAAGGCTAAGTGAGACAAGCTGACTGAAAAAAATCTGGATTTGAAAGTGTGGCTGAAGTTTGTTGATGCTGCAAATCTTACGACATTTGGTGGCAAAAGTAGCTGCCCGCTGGCTGGAGCAGACAGTCTAGCTGTTCGTTGCTCTTAGCTAACAGACCAATTGGGGGAATGAACTCGTATTCACC